CAAACTATAAGAGATTTAAGATACAAAAAAATAACAATGAGCCAGATTGCATATATAAACAATATAATAATAATACCCAAACTAAACTATATATTACAGCTAACGAAGATGTCAAATAGAAGTTTAAATGAAATATATCAACTAATAATAAGTTTGGCAAAACAAAAGAGCAGTCTGCAAAGAATAGTAGAAAACTACATAATAGAATACAAAGATCTTAGCAGCTGTAAAACATTGTAACAAGAGTTAACTATGAAGTAAGTAAGTAGTCTTATAACAAAACTAAACAGACAAAACAGTCTTGAACAGCTAACAAGATTAAAAATAAAACAAGGCTGTTAAAGAGTAGACTTGGTAGAAGATATATGAAAAATGAAAGAGTGACCAGAAATTGAGACATATTTGAAGAACAACTTAGCATACCTTATAATACTCAAAGCAAGAAAACTAAAAATAAATATTAGAACAAAAGATGAACTATAGAAAATGTTTGAATATAATATTAAAATACAAGAACTGATAGATGCACAATTGTAGAAAAAAGAAACAGTTAGAGTAAATAAAACTGGTCTAATATATCTAAATCAACTACTTGATACAAGAGAAGAAAAACTAATTATATAACAGCAACTAAAAAGCTATTAAGACCAATCAAATAAAAGAAAGAAAGCAGAATAGTTTAAAGCAATTAAATTAAAATGCTCAGCAGCTCAGAGAATAAAGTAGTACAAAGATGCTTTAGAATATGTAGACAAAACACTTAGGCAATGCAAGTCAAATAGGAGCATATATCAGAAGATAAAAGAAAGAAAGAATAGATAGTATATAGTATACAAGACCACAGACAGCTCAGAAAGTTGATTAAAAAAAAAAAAAAAAAAAGTGTTAATCGAACATTGGCAAATGAAGTGCAAAGAAAACAAAGTAGCAACTGAAATTAACAGATATAAAAGATATATAAGTAAAGAAGAACAGATAGAAAACAGTTGTCAGCAATGGATAAGATTAAATAAAAACATTTATATAATTTCAGATAGATTAATAAGAAAGGGCAGCAATCAAATTAAAATAGTGATAGACTAAATAATAAACATAACAGAAATGAACAAATCAAAAATAATTAAAAGCAAACTAAAAGGTCTTATAATAATAGAAGAACTAAAGATAGAAATTATTAAACAACAAAAATTAGAAGGAAATATTAGTTAAGAAATAATAAAAGTCTTAAAAAGAAACATTATGAGAAACAAGAACAAATATATAATATATACTGATGATGCAACTAATAGGAGAGATAGTAAAGTACTAATATCTAAAACTGATATGAGAATAAGATATGTCTAAACAAATGAAATGCAAGAATAGCCAGAAGAAGAATTAGCATTTGAACTAAAGGGATGGTAAACATCAATAGTAGCAGAGTTGGTAACAATTTGGACAGCAATTCTAATAATATCTAAAGAGATGCAAATAGAGATATATACAAATAGTAATACTGCAATAAGAAACATTGGTAGAAGCTTAAAACAAGTAGACAGAAATAAGATTATTAAGAAGAAAAACATGATATAAATAATGAAGATTAAAGACCTTATCAAAATGAAAAACATTCAGATAGATTTAGTTAAAGTTAAAAGCTATAACAAAGACAAATAGAATAATAGAACCGATAGTTTAGTAAAGAAGGGAACAATAAGTAGGAAAATAGTACAGACCAAAAAAGTTAATTGTAAAAAGATAGAGTATTGCCTAGAGTGAAAAAATAAAAGAACTAACATATCAGCAAGACTGCTTTATAAATTAGTAACAAATGCAAGACTAAAAGCAGAGTAAAAAAAAATAAAAACAGTTAAAAGTTTAGAACCAGATACAAAAATTACAATTTATAACTAGACTTATTTTTGGAAAAGGTTAAAAACATTAAAAGGAATTTACTATACAATAAAAAGAAGCAGTTTCAGAAGATGTGCATTTATTAAGTGCATAATAGATAAACTTCTAATCTTAGAAGAACTCAATAGAAGAAAGTCAGATATATACACAACAGTAAAATACCAAGTATGCCAAAATAAAGTAAAAGAGACTCAAGCATACTTGGTAAATGCAAAGAATAAAGAAATCTTTAAAAAAAAATCTAAAAAGTGATCATTACAACAGAATAGAAGAAGTTAAAAGAAGAAGAAAAGATTCAGATTTCCTCATATATGTTATATACAACACTTTTTGGAAAAACAGAGACAGAGGAAGTTAAAATAAGTGAAGTACTAATAAAAGACCTAATCCCAAAAGAAACACAAGACAAACTAGTAAAACTATTAAATACAAGATTAAGATAGCAGTTTGTAAATACAGTAGCAATAATGATCTAGGACACATTCTATGAACAAGTATAGAGAATATGGTGTAAAAAAATTATTGAATAGGAGAAAAAAATTGGAATAACAAATAAAATTAAAAAGAAAAAAAGTGGAAAAACTAAAGAAATCAAGAAACCAAAAAATGGCACATCATGAAAAAAAAGAAGAGAAAAAAGAAGAAATAAAAGAAAAAAGAAAGCAAGTTGAGAAGAAAGTAATGAAGACAATATTGGAACTTGTCATGAAAGGGAGAAGACCTTTCTATTATGGACTTTAAGTAGTCAGACAAGCAGTTTATTTCTGTTTGAAGTAATGCAACAGATTGCATTTAGGTACTATTAAAGTGACCAGGTGATGCTAGATTTAGATATTAGAGATATTTATGTAGTTACAAATATAATTCCAAAAACCTAATAAAGTACTAGTGTAACTGCTTATAATAAAAAAAAATAAAAATAAGTTTTAAAAAAATATAATAATATAAAAATTAAAAAAATTAATAAAAATTTATTTTACATAAAAAAATAATTAAAACATATTTATAACATTAAAGAATATAAAAAATTTATTATTTTGTTCTAAAAAATTATTAAAGATATAGTAAATAAATTGTTAATTCATATTTTTATTGAAATTTAAAACAAATTTGAAATTGATATTATAACTGATATATAAAACCAAAAAAATAAGTACAATTTTAAACTAGTACAAAATAAAGTTTTTGTAATAAAAAAAATATATTAATAATAAAGTATGAAAAAAAACTTTTCATAAATAAAATACAATATAAAATCTACTTATTATTTAAACTGTTTATTCAATTTTCTTTATTACATTTATAATGTACCAACCTTTTACAGATGTATTTTGGCAAAAACTCTTGCTCTTATACAACTAATGAATCAATTTTTATGTTATGAATTTGCAAACTTAAAAAGAATCACGTGAAATAAACTTTATTAATAATATTTTTTTAAGAAATATTGTATATCACAACTAAAGGTTTGGCAATCAATTCAAAATTGCAAACTCGTAATTTATGAAATCATATGATAAAATTTTAGATGTGACAAATCGGGCGCCTGATATATGAAAAATACACACATACGTACGTACGTAACAAGATTAATAAAGCGTAATTAATATTTTAAAGTTATTTTGATATGTATTTATAATGTTCCTCACGGACGGTTCCGAAAAAATATCGGGTAAAACCCGAGATGTGCATACGTGGGCTCCGCATATAATTGTCCGGAGGACGATCTATGGTGTAGACCAGATTTTGTGTCCGACCTATTTTTAGATTGGATGACCCTATTTTTAGCTGATGACTCTAATAAAGTTTTAGCATCGGACATTTAGAAGTATCTGTTTTCCTAGTTTTATTATTTAGTTGCGGGTACGTAGAATTTCATGAGAGACCCTAAATACGGCCAATCAACGAGTGTAATTCGAACCGGGGCTGGTTCCGGGTCTGTTTTGCGTATGTACAGTTGAAAACCTGTTAAATCTGTATCTACCAGGTAAGTTTTTGCTATATCGATATAAATCTAATATGTATTCCCCATATCAATACATATCGGCTTAATAGTATATATATTTATTTTAAAAGCAAATTTATTTGTCGCCGGCTGTGACAAACCCAAGCCAATCAGATTTCACGATTCAAAGACTTCAAAAAAAAAAAAAAAAATTCGGAACAATATAACACAAAATTATGCCTATTAAACCATCTTTCGTGTCTTAACAAAAAATATTCCTTGCATAATTTTACTATAAATTATGCCTTTCTAATCCTAAACATAACTCTAAATAAATCCGGGTACTGTCACACCGTTGACAAGTAGATTAATTCTTAAAAATACATACCGATATTAGTAGTTTAACCCAATAAATTAATAAATTTGAATTTGATCAAATATAACCTAACTAGACAAAATAAAGCTAGTGTCAGAGATAAATAATATCATTGGTAGCAACCTTCTATACTTTGTTTTTTTTTTGTGTAATTTCAATTTATGCGGTATTAAGAATAGTTAATCTTGTGATTTTTATTTACTCATTTGATCGTACGACAAAATTACTAGCCCGAGTACAAACCTAGAAGCTTGATTTTCACATCATATACAATCATATACAATTAAGTGAATTATGAGTATATCAAATATATGTTCGTACGTCCGTAAGTACGTCCGTACGTACTTACGTATAGACGTACTTCAAACATTTGTTTATTTGTTTATATCGCGCAGGTTCATTATCTTTTCAATCTATATGAAAAGTGTCCTTCACTTTTTGATAAAAATGAACTAAAATAGGCAAGCGCCATTTTCGTTAATTTATTGTATTGGAGAGAATCAAGTTAATAAGGTTTACGTAATATTATTTATGCAAGTATCAAGATGATTTCCGGAATGATAGGAGCATTTCGAAGACAAAAACAATGCGATTCTAAATCGGGAAAGCACATACGTATTCAATTAACATTAAATCCATGTTGAGGTACAAATACTCAACGTGCATTCAGGGGAATACTTGTATTCCCTAAATTATCAATACTCTGTTTCATCCATTTTCGCTTCAGTAAAAAATTGACTATTATATAGAAACTAAAATACCAATACATCAACAACCAACTTATCAATGCAACCTACCAATGTTGCCTTGTCTACTACTCGTCCTAATGTGACAATTTATGGCGGCAACAGACCAAACTTTCTTTCGTCATGGTTTTTTCTTTGGATATTTCGTTTGTTGAAAATATCCACAAAACATAATTTAGGAGACGAAAACCTGACTCTACAAGTGTCCGAAAGGGCGCAGTTTGTAGGTGACAGGTTGGAAGGTTTTTGGAAATTGGAAATTGATAATAAAAAAACTAGGTATTTATGACTTACCATTTAGATAATTTGTTCTTCCTTCAATTTATAAATATTGTTCATGTCTTGTTTGGACAAGCCATCCAATTTACCTTATTTTAACTGTGGAGATTGATCTGCACGATGACCTTTTAAAATGTTTAAAAAGTTATGCAATATTCTAAATTAGCCTTAACCATTTTATATATGCTCAAGTAAACCTTCAATTTGTCGAGCTCTTATCAAATCGTTTGGAACTACCTATGCTCTTCTTGGACTTTATAAACTCTTCGCTGCTGGATTCATGTTTGTTGGCTATTATTATATTATAAATCAACTGATTTTACTCATTGAAGTACCAAATACACCAGAGCAAGCAAATGCCTCTGAGCATTTATATGCTGTGGGTTTGTTCCTGTGCGCTTTAGCGTTTAGTATATTTAATAATCAAGTGACTTCTGAATCAACACGGATAGGAGTTCAGGTAATTCTTTAACAAATCCGTTCATTATTCAAGTTATATCATACAATTCATCTGAATACAATCTAGGTTCGTGCCGCATTAATGGTTTTGGTATATCGGAAATCATTACGACTTGGTATAATCGGTGGTGGTATTGGTGATGTTGGTATGTTTCTACTAATTATTGACATAATGTACCATTCATTATTTAATATATTAATTTAATATATTAATTTTATATATTTAATTTAATATATTTAATTTAATATATTTAATATAATCTAATTTTTTTTTATGTTTTTATTTGACATTAAATAGTGAAATTGATATCTAATGACTGCAATAAGTAAATTTCTTAGCATATATATATATACTTCTCGTCAAAAGCTATTCAGATATCGGCAAATTTTCTAATACCAATCGAACTAACGATATATTAGACGAATTTTTTACTGGTATCCGAATGTTTTTTGTCAGAGAATTTATGTCAAAATCTTTTGTCTTCATTATTTATTAATATGCTTTATACATGTTTAGAGTGGCTGAAGCTTGTGTAAATTTTCATTTCCTATGGAGCTCTGCTGTTGAAATAATAGGTATTTACTAATTTTTACAAATTTTATATGAACTTATCCAAGAGTTTTAAATAAATATGCATATGTATCTAAATCAATAAATATAAATATATAAATATAAATATAAATATAAAATAAATATATATATATGTATTATATATTGGTATAACTTATCAAACGTCATGTAGTCATGATTGTCTTGGTTTGGATCCAGTTGAATTTGGCGGCCTTACCTGGTATATATCATAACATTTATCAATGATTATAAATATTTCTTAAAAACAAACAATTTTATTTTATTAACGTTATAATATTTAACATTCCAGCTTTGATTATTCTTCTTATATTGTTTCCCGTTCAGTACAAACTCGGTAGACTTACGTCGAGTATTTATAATTCAATATCAAACATCACATCTTCACGTATTCATCTCATGTCGGAAATCTTAACTGCTATAAAAGTCATTAAATTTTATGCTTGGGAAACTTACTTTCGTGACCGTGTTGGTAAGGTTAGAACTAAGGAATGGACTCAATTGATTACTGGTCTTGTTCTTAAAGTATGGACATTTTGTGTTGTATTCGGTGCTCCCATTTTGGCTATGTTGGGTTGTCTTTGCGTTAAGCTTGTGGCATACAAATATCCAGATAATGTATTGTTACCCAATACTATGTTTACTGTCCTGGCTTTATTTTATACTGTAAGGTGAATAATAATGACTCATTTAGATGAAAATTTAATAGCTTTCTTTTTTATTCTTCTTAATACTAATTCATATCAATATTATTTATAAGATATCCCCTCATAATGCTTCCTATTGCTGTGAGAACTACTTTGGGTAACAACATTTGGAATATAAAATAATTCTTATTTTCATCAACTTTCAATAATTACTTTTATTAATTATTTATTCAATTTAATAATTTAGGTGCATTGGATTCTTTTCAACGTTTAGAAGAGTTTTTATTAAAACCTGAATTAGATCCTTTAGTGGAAGAAAGTAATCCAATAAACGAAGATCCGACAATCAAAGTTTATATTCATGACGCTGATTTTTCCTATGAAGGGACCAATGGTCCAGCTTTGAAATTTTTAAACATGACTGTAAAACAAGGTGAAATTGTTGCTGTAGTTGGTGATGTTGGTGCTGGAAAGTCTTCAATTCTTGCTGCAATTTTAGGACAGCTTCGTAAAGATAATGGTATTAGAAAAATTCGTGGCTCAATATCTTATGTTCCTCATGATGCATGGTTGTTAAATGCCACTTTAAAGGATAACATTCTTTTTGGCAATGATGATGATGCTGATAGATATCAAGATGTTGTTCACGTATGTGCATTAGCAAAAGATTTAGGTCTGCTAAGTAATAATGACATGACAGAAATAGGTGAAAGAGGTGTGAATTTGAGTCTTGGTCAAAGGCAAAGAGTTAGTTTAGCAAGGGCTGTGTATTCTAATGCTGATATTGTATTATTGGATGATCCGCTTAGGTTAGTATTTGTTTATTTTTTAATTTTATTTACTTTTTTATTATATATATTTCTAATATTCTGCTTTACTATTTTAAAAAGTGTCATGGATCCTGTAATAGGAAAACATATTTTTCATGAATGTATTCGTAAATACCTAAAGGTATTAATTTATTAATCAATTTTGAATTCGTTTTTATTATATTAATTCAATTTTTTATTTATTTATTTTTTTTTTAATGGTACAGAACAAAGCCATAATTTTTGTAACAAACCAATTACAGGCATGTACATTTCATATATAATATTTGTTTTTAAATAAAATTTACCATTTTCTTATTAGACAAAATAAAATTTCTAGTTTCTATCTGAATGTGATCGTATTATAGTGATGAAAAACGGTGAATGTATAGAAGAAGGAACTTATGATGAATTAATTAAAAATGACGTTTCTCTCGCTTCATTGATTAATGATTACGTGGAAATAGAAGATCCTGATCAAATTGATGAACTTATTAATGAAATTCGTCTTGAACCATTTCATGGTGATGACGATGATAACATTGATGATTTAGATATTGTTATCACAGACTATTCTAGAGAAATAAATCCTATTAACAATAACTTTAACAACTCTCTTGCACTCAATCGTACAATATCTAACACTGAAGCTAATGAACATACAATTTCACGTATAATGGAACTTAATATACATACACCTCAAAACATTAATGAGAAAACAATTTCTAAAGTTATCGAACGAAACAATCTATCTGTTCTTAGTGGTGCTGGTAGAACAAGAGTGATGGGTCCTAAAGTAAATCGTGAAATGAATTTTACTGCTGTTGCTGTCGAGAAAAATCAATTGACTATTCATAGTTTAAATGAACGTGATGGAGTTACACCAATTATTGAATTTGAAGCAAAAGCAACAAAGAAAAAAGAATTTAAAGCTGGGTTTAACGTATATCTTGATTATTTCCGGAAATCAACCGGACTTGGTCTAACCCTCTTGATGTTCTCATTATTCTTTATCATGACCGCTATAAGGATATTCAGCGGTATTTATCTGTCCCTTAAGTTACTTACAATATTAATAAAAATAATAATCATTTTGATGCTCTTTCATTAACTAAAAGTAAATTAAAGAACTAATTTTAGACTTTGTGTATATTAGATTGGTGGCTAATAAAGTTAGTAGAAACCGATCCAGATGCAAACTTTGGTTATCTTCTTGGTGTTTATGGCGCATTAGTGGTAAGATTTTGTTAATTATTTAAATTAATTATCATTCATATTATTTTTTATTATTTAATAATTACCAAATTCCTATTTCATGTAATTTTAATTCATTAGGGTGTTGTTCTCTTTGGTGTTTTCTCACGTGGTGTATTTTACGCTTGGGTAGTGATGCGAAAAAGTGAATCTTTACATGATCGAACATTTCTGGTTAGTATTTTTTTTTCTCTTGGCAATAAAACTTGATAATATACTTGTATCATAAATGAATAATCATTATTATTATCTACAAATCAAAAAGAAAATAATGCGTGCTCCAATGTATTATTTTGATGGTACACCTCTTGGACGTATATTAAATGTATTTGCTAAACATCAATACCTTGTTGATGATGTTCTAAGTGACAATGCCTTACAGGTACAACATTTTAATAATTCAGACTTTTTTAAAAATATTTATTTATCGCTTTAAAAATTTATATAATTATCTTAATTCTTCATAGTTCTTGACTTATGTACCTCTTGTTATTGGTACTATCGTATTTGTCATTGTTCTCATCCCATATACCGCAATAACCGCTGCAGTGTTGGTCCTTTTAACATGGCTTATTATTCATTATTCAAAGGATGTGGAGGAAAGATTTAAAATGTTGGATGGTGATCATCTATTTAACCAAATTTTACCATATTAAAATTTAAATAAATATATTAATACTTTTAAATTTTTTTGTTTAGCTAATAGTAAGGCACCTATATTTGCACATTTATCAGCTTCATTAGAAGGGCTTGCAAGTATTCGTGGTTATAAGGTTGAAAAAAGATTTGATAATTTAAATATTGAAAAAGTTGATTCAAATAATAAGGCATTATTTACTTTGATGCAAGGTATATGGTATATGCGAGAGCACGATTCTTATTAACTAATGTGCCTTACTTTCAACAAATATTAATGGTTTTCTGTCAAATAATAGTCAGATCCTGGCAATCATTATACATTGACATAATGGCATCACTCTTCATTTATACCACTACATTATTTGTCATTCTTTTACATCATTCAAATGGTATTAGTCCATCGGTTGCAGGTTTAGCGGTTGTAGGCGCATCGCAATTACTTATTTTTGGTCAATCTATGATTCGTTCTGGCCGTGATGTTGCAGCAATTATGGATAGTGTACAACAATTGTTATATTTCCGTCAAAATATACCAGCCGAGGTAAAATAATTAATTATAAATTAAGAAAGTATGTATCTAAAAAAAAATATATAAAATTTAAGTAATATCTTAAATTAAATTTTATAGGCACCTAGTATAATCGATGGAAATCGACCTCCACCAAATTGGGGTGAACGTGGAGAGGTATTAAATGATATTTAATGAAAGTTTATTAAAATTTTGTTCTATATAAAAATAATTAAAAAAATTTTTTATATTATTTTTAGATTAAATTCGAGAATGTCGTCCTTCGTTACAATTCCTATGGTGTGGCTGTTCTCAAAGATATTTCCTTCCATATTAAACCTCGTGAAAAAATTGGTATTATAGGAAAAACAGGATCAGGTTAGTTTTTAGCATATTGTTTTTATCTTTGACATGAAGAGTTTAATAAACTCTTTATGAAAAGATATTTTTCGCATGATATTGCGTATTATTTATGCTTTTAAAATTGTTCATATTTTTATGTTTATAACATTACATTTTTTATTATTATAAGGCAAATCGACGTTACTTGTAAGCTTGTTACGAATAGTCGAATTAGCAAATGGTAAAATTTGGATCGATGACGTAGATATTAGTACCATTGGATTACGAGACCTCAGAAGTAAAATTGCAATTATTCCACAAGGTATATTTTATTATTATTATTATTTACAAAAAGGGTTTTATTGTAATTTATTATAATTTTCTTTTACAAAAAAAAGAACCTGTGATATTTGCCGGCACAATAAAATCAAATCTTGACCCATTCAATAAATGCACGGAAGATGAAATATGGAAAGCACTCGAAGCAGTTCATTTAGATGGAAAGGTTAAATCAATGCCAGATAAATTAGGAACAATAGTTCTTGAAAGTGGAAAAAAATTTTCACTTGGTCAAAGACAATTATTCTGCATAGCCAGAGCACTTTTGAAAAAGACAAATATTTTAGTCTTAGATGAGGCAACAAGTGCTGTTGATGCGGCAACTGACCGTCTAATTCAAGATACAATTAAAGAGCATTTCGCTGATCATACCGTTTTGACGATAGCTCATCGATTGGTAAACATTAAACACATATATCGTTATTATATTTTTTTTATTAAATAATTTAATTTTTCTATCTTTTATTTTTCAGAATACAATAATGGATGCAGACAGGATATTATGTTTAGATGAAGGACATGTTGCAGAATTTGACTCACTAAGTAAACTATTAAGTAATCCAAATGGATTCTTTTATCAATTAGTAGCGCATAGTGGACCAGATATAGCCCAAAGATTAAGAGAAAAAGTAGGAATACATGATGGATCATCATCAAGTAAAATTGTCGATAATAATTCAATAAATCCACCAATTACAACTATTGAGACGATAGATAATCAACAAACATCGACTCATACACATATGCCACAATCGTTAGGAGAAGTTTTTGAACCATCTCCACCTTCAACAACATCACAACCATCATAAATTTATAAGATTTTTTTTTATTTACCTTTTTTTTTTTGCTTTGGAATGAGGTTTTTATCCAAGGGCATAAAATGTAATATATTTGAGTTCAAATTAAGATTTATGTTAAAATTTACATAAAAGTTACGATAATTGTTTTTCATGAAAAGCTAAATTATGTTGTACGTAACTGTTTATCACCGTATTTATTTAAATTATTAATAAAATATTAGTAAATATTTTTTGGTATTAGAAGACCATAAAACTGGTTTGTAAAATTAAAAAATTGATTTGGTATATTATAGGGTTAGGGTTTAATCATGATTACAGTTGATGACTTAGTCAATTAAGTCGACCACTTATTCAAAACATTTGATTTAGTTATGTTGATAGAACTGTATATAAAAACGGCTGGGATATGACTTAATATGGTTGACTTAAATTTTTTCAGGTAACTAACTTATACAATGTAAAGACTTTTTCAAATTGTAACGTTTCACTATTTTATTTATGAAAAAAGTTTTTTTTATTTTTAGGGTTGTAAAAGCGTTACCTCAAAACGAAGAACTTAGAAGCGAAGATTATTGCGTGTATTATTACAATTTACAATCAGTAAAATAAAAGAAGATAACTGAGAATGTTGTTGCTAAAAGTCAAACTAACAAAATTATGCCAAAGTTATTATTAGTTTTAGGCGAACAAATTTTACAAAAAATCTATCAAAATTGAACTTGTTAAAAATTTATTGTTAATAATACTGATAATGTATTATTAAATACAATTTTTTTTGTAAATATAAATAGCCTTTTTTTAGCATTTTATTACTATATTTTGATTTTATGAATACTTTGCAAAAAAGCTTACATTATTACGAAAGCATTAAAATATTCTAGATCTAGTGTGAATTATTAAAATTATAGGTACAAGAGAGTTTTCATAGTAAATTCACGATTTACTCGAAAATTCCTTCTTGGCGACCTACAATCTTAATAATTCACACTAGATCTAGCTTAATAATTCGCACTAGTTCTAGAACATTTTAATGCTTTTGTAAAAATATAAGATTTTTGCAAAGTATATTTTCTAATTATTATACTAATAAATGTTAATATGAGTGCTGTAGAGTGAAAACCTGTAAGTGAATCTTTATGTTTATCACTGTAGCGGACTTAGTCTTATACGTAATATATAATAAAGACAAAGTCCGCTACAGTGATAAACTTAAAGATTCACTTCCAGGTTTTCACTCTACAGCACTCATATTATAAATATTTTAGTAATAATAAAGGTCTAAAAATTATCATTATTTAACTAAAATTGCTAGCTTAATATTAATAATGCACTTTATATTACTAGTCATTGACAAGTAATGGCATATCTTGAATTGTCAGATTTTTGTAAAGAAATGTTTTCATTTAAAATTACTTATTACGTTAGATTTAAATAAATTTAATTTTTATTACCAACTATTTAATCTGAATAAATGCAAGTCTTTTGTAGTTTGGATTTATCAACCGTCCGTAAATTAATGTTTTAGTTTATATGTTGTAGATTCTTTATTCTTTTTTTTTTAGTATATTGTTACACGGGATAACTAGAAAAGATAATAAACGAATGTCTCGTGTTCGTTTTGTATAAATCTATGTATTATGCTAATAAATCAATACTAGCGTTCAAGAGGATTAATGTCAAGTAGACGTATAACAATTTATTTAATAAATTACTGGGTTATATAGTATATAAATAAATAGTAAGAAGAATATGAGTAAATAAGTGATTAATTCTAATAGGACTGATTTGTGTATCTACCGGGTCAAATGACCGACACGCTTAAGTTTCATATGTTGGTTAAAAATAAACCTAAGAATTTTGATCCCGAAGTTTGCTTATTTTTTTAAGATTTTTTTTCAAAATTTTCAAAAATAATCAAAATAGAACTACCTCAGCCAAATCGTGAAAGCTGCATCAATCTGATCTGAAAAACTGTCAATATCTCAAAATTTTGATTATAAAACTACTTTCTGCGCACTAATAAAAAGAATTTCTTGCAAATTTTGATATCTTAATATAGTTATAGGTATTTTATCTTAACTAATCAACAGAATGCTATCACTGTAATATTATCTATATATTATATAGGTAATTATCTAAATTTTGCTATTAATAAATTTTGAACTCACAACTTACCACTTGGAGAGTTGACAACTTATCTATTTTACTAAGTCATCATACCTCTTTAATTTAATTATCTTAAAACATATATAACCAAATCTGAAAATTATATTGTATTAAACTATCAGAATAAAAACAACAAAACAATATCTTTAACCAATAATTATATAATTGATCAATAAACTCAAATATTATAACTAGATTATTATCATAAATCAGATTATTATATATTTACAGTTGCATTTGCAGTCATTCTGATCAATAATATAGATAATTTTTATATTTGTTTATTACAAAGAAAAGCAAATAAAAAACTATTTAAATAATTATCTAAATAGATAAATTATAGCATCTTTATTAATATTATTTTACATTATCAAATCTAGATGAGTTTTAATTACTCTAGTAGGTTTAGATTGCAGATAAATTAAATAAAATTAGATAATAATTTTGTTTATAGTCTAAGTCTCATTCTTATAAAAAAATTATAAATTAGTTCTAGTCTATATCAACTTATATAGTTACTCATAATAAATTATTAATAAAAATAAAGACAAAATCTCATTCTAATACTAAAAAAAAAAAAAATATAAGCAAAACTTTATCTTAATATTAAAAAAAATATGAAAAACATTTTAATTTGAAATTTGAAATTAGACTGTAATATATATATAAAAAAGATATATATTTAAAAAATATATATTTAAAAAATACAATTATATATATATATATATTTAATATTAAAGTGATCTTTTTGAATTTTTAACTTGTATTAATAACTTTTTAGTAATGTAATTCTATAAACTACTATAGAAAGAATATACAATTGGTTACATGTATAACTTTTCTATATTATCTATTTAAGAAGTTTACTTGAAGATTTTCTACCAATTACTGTATTTAACACCTATGCTTAAGTATTTATTTTAAACTTTCTGAACCTGCATCTGTGTTAACATTACTAAATCAAGCCTAGATCATTATCTCAATCTTAGAACTATTTTATCTTTGAAATAAACCTTTCAGAGCCTTTTATATTTATTTTTATAACTGATCTAGGTATTACTATAGCAGAACCAATATTTGTAATTAGACTTATATTATTTAACCACCATGCTCTTGTAAAGTTTACTTAAACTTTAATATTTACTTTATAGCATAATCCTAATACTTTAATATACCTCTATTTATTCTCTAAACATCTAATCCAAATAGTCTATATAGAACTATAACCAATATATCAGTATATCAAGTCAGTCTGATATCTTTTTTTTTAGTTTATTCTAGTGGTCTGATTGGTAATATTTTTAAAAATTCTAACCCAGAGGTTTTTACCTATTTAGGTACTTTGACATTGGTATCTATTTTCTTGAGCTAGTCTTTATAGTAGTATTGGCAAAGATCTGTGTACTTCTTTACTTAGGTCTTCATAAATAAACTTCTTGTTTTCTAATTTTAACAAATTTATATAATACAAAAACTTATCTAAAGTTTGTATTGCCTAATGCCAATTTGCATTTCTCTGTATAACTAGTTACACAAATGCCTATAATCTGCCAGTTATATTAATATAACTGTTATTATAGATATTTTAATACAATTATTAGAAAAAATTGCTATAATATAAGTATTATATAGATGATTATTCAAATTTTTATTATTAATAAGATTTGAACATCCAAACTACCACTTGGGAGGTTGACAACTTATCTACTTCACTAAGTTGTCATATCTCAAAAATACAATTATATATATATTATTATACTTCATTAATATATATATAATCTTATATAAAAGAATAGTCAGAACTAATATACAAGTCAGACTATAATATCTTACATAGCTGTAAGAACTAAGCATATAGTAATCAAATTTGTAAAAGACAATCTTAAAAGATCTGACTCTTTCTTATCTAATTATATTATTCTTTATTCTTATTTTTTTTCTATCTTTTATAATCTTTCTTTTAGATCAAATCTTTATAATTCTTTTTCTATTCTACCTAATTTATTTTTTAATAGTTATACCATATTACAAGTATCTATATCAATACAATCTTTATAAAACTTTTATTTAAACATTTATATATACAATATTAGAGATTTTAATACAGTAACTAAAAAAGAAGCTTGGCAAAATTATTATCTTTATAATAATATTTATATACTAAAACTAAACTTGCTAATGGTGCTAATCTTCAATTTTATAATAACAAGCTATTTACTTAATTTAGCAAAAGATGCTACTATTATAATTTACAAATATTTACAAACTCAAGTATACAATTGTTAAACACACTTTAATAAAATAATTGTTTTAGATCTTTTTTTCAAAAATGAAATTAAACTTCAAATTATAGCTGTTTATTTTTTCTTTACTAATATGCAAAAAGGTAACAAAACACAAAATACTATTAATACATAAATCTAACAAGCTTTCTAATACAACCTTCATCCAATAACATTTGAAAACTTTAATATACATAATAATATCTGTAACTTATCATCTAAATTCAGATTTATTAATTATCTACACTACTTTAATATATTTAATATTAGTATACATGTTAACAATAAACATTTTATATAATTAAATAATACTAGTTGTTGTTATATTAAATATATCTGAACTGATTCATTTAATATCTAATTCTTTCTTTCATACAAACTTAATAACAGCAATATTTTAATACTTAGTGATTATTCTATTTTTATATCTATCTGAATCTTCATTAATATATATAGCAAACCATATGTCATCATATTAGTATTAGTTATAGAATTTTTAACTATAAAGCTATATTAACTAACAAATAAACAAAATTCTTAAATCTTCTTTCTTACAATTTT